TAGAGAAGAATCTTTCTTTACCTCCTCCTAGCTTCTTTCTGGTGGCTAGCTGGCAGTGTGTCATCACTGGCTTGCAGCTACATTTCTCCAATTTCTTCCCAGGTCTTCACATGGCTGTCTTCCCTCTGTGTCTCTGTGTCTTCTCTCTTTCTATGAGGGTGGCAGTCCTTGGAATAAGGCCACTCTAATCCATTACAACCTCATCTTAACATGACTACCTCTACAGAGACTCTAATCCCATGTAAGGTTACATACACAGGTACTGAGAGTTAAGACTTAAACATACGTTTATAGTTTTTGTTGTGGGGGGGTGTGGTTTGCAGAACACAATTCAACTATGACAGTGGCCTAAAGGAAAAGAGAAATTGATAAACCACTCTTCAATCTCTCTCTGCCTTGTTGTTAAGATTCTCTACCACAAGTAATAGTGAATAGGAAAGCCTTTTGAAGGCTTTTTAAAAAATAAATATTTTATTTATTTAATATTTTCAGAGAGAGAGAGAGAGTATGCAAGCAGAGGGAGCAGCAGGCAGAGGGAGAAGCAGGCTCCGCACTGAGCCAGGAGCCTGATGTGGGGCTCCATCATAGGACTGTGTGATCATGTCCTGAGCTAAAGGCAGATGCTTAACTGACTGAGCCACTCAGGCATCCCTTGAAGGCTTTTTTTGATGGTCTTAGAGAACCAAACCTTTATTTATAACTTTGTTTCTGTAAAAAAAAATTGTATTTTTAACACCTGACAACTCTGACTGACCAAGGAACTTTTAGAAGTTAACCTACGTCTAAAACATAATTGTTTATACTTCAGGGGACTTTCCCCCACTCAAATAATGTCACAAGTTTTTTTGAAGTAGTATGTGTCACATTTTGTAATACTTTTAATTCTGGTGGTTCAACAAAATAGAGTAGGCATATTAAAATTAACATAGTCACGTCTAAAACTCTGTGCCTATTAAATATGCTTAGCCTAAAATCAATAAAGATTTCCTTTTTCTACTTAGGCCACTGTCATCTAACTGTGGTTTCTGCTCTTGGCATTTTCCATCTTAGTCTTTGCTCATCTTACCACACTTGATTAAGTGTGCACTTTGTTAAATCAGCCATGTTCATTTAATAAAAGAACAGTGGCCTTAGAATCAGAACTTTAGCTCTGTGATTTTTCCCTTTAGTTCTGTATTTTATTAATTTTGTTATCTTGGGGAAGTCACCAAAACCACTTCCTCCCTCAGTGTTTTCACCTGTACTGTGATTGATATTAACCCTTTCCCTGTGTGGTGGTGAGAATCCTATTGAAGTCACTTAATATTTGAGGGTGTGTCACATGCCAGTATTGCTGTAAGTGCTTGACATGCATCAGTGAGAACAAAGTTCTCAGGCTTCATGGGGCTTCTATCCTAGGAACTAAAAATTATATGAATTATAAAATGCTTTACCAATGTAAGGTGTTATCATCATTGCTATCTTAACAGCAGCAACTCCAATTTCTCAAATATCTTTAAAAATCTTATTATGCATTAGCTCCTAGATATCAGGAAGTACATAAAAAGAAAATCTAAGAAATAAAGAATTTACCCATTGGAGATTTAACCATAAATATAAACTGGGTGGTAAATATTGAAAATGTTTCTTTATTGCATTCAAAGTTCTTGGACCCCTATTATTATATGGGTCGTGCAGTGAGTTAGGTTCCATGTGAAATGTGAAAATAGGCATTAATCCTGCCCTCAACACAGGGCGTGTGGGTGGTTCTGTTGGGTGAAGGACTGACTCTCGGTTTCAGCTCAGGTCCTGATCTCAGGGTCATGATATCGAGCCTCACGTCAGGCTCTGTGCTCAGCTGGGAATCTGCTGAAGATTCTCTCTCCCTTTCCCTCGGCCCCTCCCTCTACTCGCACTCTTCTCTCTCTCAATAAATAAATAAATCTTAAATAAATCTTATAAATAAATAATCTTAAATTAATCATAATTAAATCATATAATCATAAGTTAAAAAATCATTAATAAATATATCTTTAAAAAAATCCTGCCCTCAAGGAGTTTAGAATCCAGTCAAACACATGCCCTATGAGGATACAAAGTTAGTATCAAACAGTGAGGCACCAAAAAAATTGATCGGAAGTCTCAAAAGTGGAACTGAAACACCTACAACACCATAACATCTTATTGACATTCTTCATATGTAGGATATTTACTTTGTACTGCTGTAATGAACATGGCACTACTAGCAGCTGTTTTATTTATCTATGTAGTGAGATTTCACTTTACACTTTCAATATAGATATTGACATCTATGGTATGCTATATGGTGCAGTGTTTGTGCAATAGTTTCACTCTGTAATGGAAATATATTGTATAAAAGCTTAAGTGATATTTCAGAACAACACCAAGCATCCAGAAGTTTATAGCTCATTATTAAAATTGGAGGCCTGATTTGCGACGACGTGGATGGAACTAAAGGGTATTATGCTTAGCGAAATAAGTCAATTGGAGAAAGACAACTATCATATGATCTCCCTGATATGAGGAAGGGGAGATGCAACATGGGGGGTATGAGGGTAGGAAAAGAATAAATGAAACAAGAGGGGATCGGGAGGGAGAAAAACCATACGAGACTCTTAATCTCACAAAACAAACTGAGGGTTGCCAGGGGGAGGGGGTTAGGGATAGGGTGGCTGGGTTATGGACATTGGGGAAGGTATGTGCTATGGTGAGTGCTGTGAAGTGTGTAAACCTGGTGATTCACAGACCTGTACCCCCGGGGCTGATAATACATTATATGTTAAGAAAAAAATAAAAAAAATTTTTTTTAAAAATTGGAGGCCTCAATCTGACTATTTAAAGCTATGTACTATGTATTTGAGTGTTTATAGAGAAGACACTGTTAGGAGAGGCTGTCTGAACATAATCAGATGTTACTCATTCATAAAGCATTGAAATGTGAAGTGCACTTCTTTGCAATTTACATTGCAATGATGCACCACAATTGCAGATATGTTGCCAGTTTTGTTGACCTTTCTATCCCCAGTGGTTAGGACAGTCTATCCCTAGTGCTCAGCTCCTGGTACATGGTAAACATTTGACAGATGCTTATTGAGTAAATGAACCCAATTTCCAGGCTGAGGGTGCTCCTAAGCAAGGTCAAGTAAGGGGGGCACCATGGGGATGGGTGAAGGAATAAGTGGGATGGCTGAGGGGATAGCAGCGGATTGGGAGGATACGGTGGGGGATTTCTGTGAGGGTTCTGACAACAGTGGGAGTTGGGCTTTCAGAGGCTTCTGTAGAGGTTCCTCTAGGGTTTTGTTTCAGAAAAAAGAGGCCTATTGCCCCTTTCCTGCCTGTGGGATCCAAGGTGTCACTGGTGGGGTGTGTCTGGTCTAGCAGAAGGAGGGTAGAGAGAGGAAGGGGCAGAAAGACTCGGTTGACTCTAGATGAGGGTGTGCAAAGGTCTTTGGGGGGTACTAAAACAGAGAGGAAGGGCAGTCCCAATAGCAGTGGGGAGAGAAGGTAATTTGCCTTCTCATGCTTATTGGAAAGCTGACTTCCTAATTTTGGTAGCCATTTCCATGTAAGAAACATTTTTCAGGTTGATTTTTCTAGGTTGAAGATTACGTATATTTGTAATAATAATGGTAGGATCAACAATGCAATTACACATTTACATAGGCACCTTCCGTTTTCAAAGTGTATTTATATGCTTTATCTCATTAGGTTGATCCTTACTTTATTTTTACATATAAGTATTCTGTGTATTATACAGTGAGTTTGTTTTCTAGAAATAGGGATGAGTGTTTAGTGTGTGCATGTGTATTTGTACAAAATATGCTGGGCTCTGGTTGCATCCACAATTTAATAAGTACAAATATACAAATATGGCACCTTGATCCAGAAGACGAAATTGGGTTTCCTGTGATAAAAACCAGCCCTGTTTTCTTTTCTTATCAAGAATAATTCTGGAACTTTATATATAAGCTCCTTGAAAGCAGGGATTGTGTTTTATTTATCAGTTAATAAGGAGAATTAGGTTAAGATTAGTTATACAGTGTTTTAATTGCTTGAATTTCTTGTATTTATGTTACCCCGCATATTACATATATATTTGACAAACCTTAATTAACTGCCTTAAATATATTATGCATCATGCTTGGTTCTGGGAAATTTAATGATCTCCTTCCAACCCAAGCATGTGCGCGCATGCGCGCACACACACACACACACGCACGCACACACACACACACACACACTCACACTCACTATCCCTGGCTTGAAGAAGCTCCTGTTGGGAACGTGGAATTATGAGATGTGTCGCAGGTGCTTGTCCGAAGTGTACAGTGGAAGGAGGCGGCCCAGAGGAGGGAGTGGTCTGTGTTACTTGGTTGATGGGGAACAGCTTCTCAAAGCTTCATGACAAAAGTCATCCTTGAGCCGAGTTTTGGAAGAGTGTCATTTGGAATCAAGTGAATAACATCACAAAACTGTAACTTTCTTACCTGCACTTTAAGATATTAACAGTTAATCCTTTTCCTTGAGTAGCCTCTTCACTGGCTGGAATGTATCTCTTCAGGTTCAGAGACACATTCGAGACTGTTAGTTTTCTCATCATGCATTGTGTCTGTTCCGTGTTGAAGTACCTGTAGGAAGAAAATTAAGTGCAGGTTTTGTGTGTGGGTTGAGAGCTGATCGAATTGAAGGTGTGTCAAGAACCAACTAGCAGAGTCCCCAGATCATTCGAGTCCCTGGCATTGTTTTTTCAAGGCTTTCTTCATTGTAGCCGGTCCCGGTCCCCGATGGTAATTGGTTGAATCAGATTTAACAATGCAGTTAGATAAACAGTTGTGGCAGCTGCTGCCATGGCAACGTCACCGTCCTTACCCTCCCAGCGCGCGCCCCTTCCCCACCCCTCCTCCTCCTCCTGCTTTCCTCCAGTAAGTGCATACTTGCTAGTGGTCTGTTCAAGCAGCAGGGTTTAATGGCAGAGCTATTTTCTTTCCAAACTGTTCAAAATGATGAACGAAGATGCAGCTCAGAAAAGCGACAGTGGAGAGAAGTTCAACGGCGGTAGTCAGAGAAGAAAAAAACCCAAAAAGGTAAATGGCCGGAATTAGGAATGTCTGTAGAGAAATGTGTGTGTGTATGTGTTAGTGTGTAATATCAATGAGATTACAGAAACCGTGGAGCATTATGAGTAACTATAGACTATAGCAGTGCCAAACATTGCTTTTTAAAGAGGTAGGTGCAGACTGCTGCTTTCTGAGAACAGGAAAGGAACCAGGGTTCGTAATGGATACATTGACTGGAGCATGGTGAAGTGAACAGAGATGAGGTGTGTTCTGCATGTGTATTATTGAGGCTTGTGGCCACTGTTGGATGCTTCTGGTGTTCACTGGCTATATACAGAAAGAGTCATTTTGTTTTTAGAATGAGTGAGTTTAAAAGCAAGTGTTAAGCAAGGTGGATTGTGAAGCAAAAGGAAGATTTTTGGCCAGATGTGTGCTCGGGGATGATCTTCAGATGGCCAGACAGCAAATGCCTTTGGTTCCATGCTGAGTGTGTTCTTCCTAAGGAGAAGAGACTGTTGTGACAGGGGAAATATGATCCTCGGTGTGATATTTCTTTGGTGTGTTTAGCTCCTCTATGGTTTTCCCAGACATGATAGTGTGATAGCTCTTTCATTGATTAAGATAAACGGCCAAGATAAAGATATTATGGGCTGGGGGTGTTGGGTACACAAAGCAGTCTGTAGGATTTCTTAGCCTGGCACACATTCCCACACCCTTGATTTTCGTGGAAACGATACCAGTGAGAAACAGTGGGAAAAGATGCAAACTCTTCAGCCCCACCCAACGCCAGCACTTCTTTCTTCATGGCCTGACTCCTTCTGGTAAACTGTTACAGCCTCACCAAGCAATGTGAGCCCCACCTCGGACAGAGATGTCTTGAAAAAAATTCCCCTAAAATCCATTTATTTCTTGAGGCAATAAGATGGGCAGAATCTAAGATGATCCTAATGTAAATGCATTCCAACGTTAGACGCTTTGCATCTTGAATGAGCATGTTAAAAAAATTATCATGGACAAATGAACATTTTTCATTTTGACGAAATGCAGTGCATTTTAAAATCGCATTGCACTTTGAAATTGTAGATCTCTGGTACCTACATGTCTCGTGATCTAAGAAATAGGAAATCATTACACCTCTGATATTTAAAAGATCATGGTATTAGTAAACAAGAGATTAGTCTGTTTCTATGGTGCCTTGTAATTTGATAAAAATAAGCATACCCCCGTATAAAATTTTTAAAATAATAGCATAAGGATCGTGTGATGCAGTCTGATAAAGGCAAAGGATAATTCAGGGCAGGCAGGAACGTTGGTGGAATGTCCTTTTGTACCTGACGATTCTGGATCCTCCAGCCCTCGATGGCATTGGTAGAGCGTTAGCTAATTGATCAACATTTTAGAAAGGGAAAAAACACATAGAAAAGAAAAAGAGAGCAAGAGATAGGGAAAAAGAAAGAAGGAGTTTTTGCTTGAATTCACACTACCATTTCAAATTCCTCTGAAATTTCTCTCTGAAGTCCCTGTGCTGCATTAGAAACATTATACTCAGAACTACGAAAGGGGTGGGGAGTCTATAACATGGAGATTTTAAGCTCTGAGTGTTGATCCTAAATTCACATGGCAAAAGCCATCTTAAAATATTTGAGGGGGTATAGCAAATGAAATCATCATAGGTGATAACTTTAATATGTATTCAGTATATTTTCTCAAATATATTTATTTAGGAATAAATTCTTTTCAAACTTGCAGTTGAAAGGATAACAATTAGTAGCAAGTTTTGAATATGTGTATGAATTTTTACACACATTCAGAGGCATATATTAAATGAGCTATTAAAGCACAGTGAATATTGAGGATTAAAAGTAATTTCACCTAATAGGAAAGCATACACACACTCACGCACACACAAGTAAACATCCTTCAGTTTGTCAAGTCAGATATAAGTGGGTTTGAATCTTAGCTCTATCCTTTAATATAGTGTGTTTGGAGCATATCATTTAATTTCTTTGATGTAGGTCCTCATCTATAAAATGTGAATTATTCTACATATCTTTTGGTATTTTGTGAGGATTAGAAATAATGTACATCAAATTCCTTGAGCAGTATTTAATATACAGTTCATAACAATGACTTTTAGGTGTTGTTACTGTTTCTTGAATGGAAATTATTCATTGGAATAAGCCCTATAGAAAGAAAGTCTGTTTATATTTTTAAGAGAGGCAGAATATAATATTCGTACTTTGCAAAGGCTAGTAGTCATTTTTCAAAAGGTCAAAAGTTATATACTATAATTGGAAACTTTTTATCTCATACAAATTATTTGAGACTTACATAAACATACTCAGGTCTTTAGATTACCGCTTCACATCTTTTTTTTACAGCAGGCATCGTGAATTTTCATATTTATAAAGTAGACCATTAAATATGCTTTGATGAGGGAATAATAATCAAGAGATAAGCATCTGTAATAAGGAAAAAATCTGAAAAAAACAAGAATTTGAGCAAAGTCAGTGCCATATCACTTTAATTGTCTGTTTTTCTACTAGTGGTTCACACTGAATCCATCATAGGATTCTGTATAAGCACCCAGGACTGTGGACCACCGGGCTTACTGTGGCCTGGGTGTTGATCTAACATGATGAATCATATGCCTTGAAAACATGCCTCTTCCTCTAGCAAATATTTAACAGATGAGCCATAATGCACTTGTTTATTCTACATCTCACTAGAGTAATTCCTCTGAGGGAGAGAACTAAAGGGTCTTTTACCACGAAACCCACAATGTGAGAAAACAAGCTCAAGGAATTTATTTTCTATTAGGATTTCAGTGAGTACCTTGAAGATGGAAATTATTCTGGCTTTTCTTAAAAATTTCTATTCTGGTTTCAGTAATTGAGCTTGTCAATGCTCTCTATGCAGAAACCACCAGGAACACACCTGTGGTTGAATGTGTTGGGTTACAACTCATTGCGTTGGGAGAGGATGCACATCATGAGGAACTGAGTTAGAAAGGACTCATAGGACTTGGGTTTTGGCTGTAGCTGGTTTAAAAAAAAAAAAAAAAGAAAAAACACCAGCAATCTCTCATTTAGCAGGAGAGGGGCACGTCTGGTATTTTGTGGCTTGGACAGTGTTCATATTTTGTCTGTGTTCAGGCATGATAAGGGAGTGGTGCCATTTCTGACCTGCTCCATCCCAGTCACAGCATGGCCTGGTCTGAAGATGATGCTTCTGTGACATTGTTTGTGTTCAGTAGAAGAACACAAAGGCCAATGGGATAGTATCAGGTTAGCTCCTGGATGCTGCTTTTCTCGTTCTCAAGCTTGAACACAAAGATACTTTTGGAGAGGGAGAGAGATTTATTTGTTGCTGGATGCTCTTTAGTGTTCAAGGAAAATAAATCAGATATTCTTGTTGCTAAAGTATTCAGAGAAATCTTTTTCATCTGCTACTTCAGCAGATAGTATCCTTCAGGCCCAGTGATTTCACACAAACGAATATTGCCCAAGGTACAGAGTTGGGGTGGATGTTCCTAGTGGCTGTTCTGTAGAAAAGAGGAAATGGGAACTACTCTAATTCTTAGCTGGAATCCTGGACTAAAAGGAAGGACTGAGACCTATATGAAATGGATCACTGGAAGAGAGGTTTTAGCCTATTCTAAACCCTGGACAACTTGGCAAAAATTTCTTATTCCAGACGATATTTTGGCAGATTTGGTTAAAATAATTCAAGACCGTATTAGAGTGCAGTACCCACACTTTCCAATTTTGCATCAGTGACAAGGCAGTGGATTTGTACCAGAAGAAGCTGTAGGAGCCTTTGATAATTTACATAAATGAAAATGGAAATGCCCCAGCATCAATCACACGTGACAGAGCCATCTGAAACCACTAAGCCTTGTGAATTCTTTTAAACGAGTAAACAACTAAATGGCTTAATAACAATTCACTCATTTGGTGAAACACCTATATAAAGATTCAAATATAAATACTATTGTTTTCAATAGAGTAATGCGGTAAAATGGCTTTGTAGCATATTTTATATTCACTTAAGATGTTTTGTTCTGGGCTGTTATTTTAGAATATTCATGAGCATTGCAACATTTTTTGGTTATATATCTTTTTATTGCTGTTTACTTGCCACTACCTAAAGAGGGAGATGAAAGTGATACCAGATGTATGATTGAAATGTTGCACCATTGAAATGTGAATGAGAGACATGGAAAAAGAAGTTTATTTTTACAGCAGACACAGAATGCATGGCTTTTTTAGTGGAATCAGGTAGCAGATCCAGCATTTGGGTGTTCAAATCTTCTTGCAGTCAGATTAGTTTTGACTTTAGCTGGTGCCTTACCTTGTTCAATCAAAGCTAGAAAGGCTTTCATGTATAATTCATCCTGAATAATAGCCCCATTTCTTCAATTTTCCCAAATAACTTATGATTTACCTTTTTTTTAGAACATGAGTTTATAACCCAAAATAGCACGTGTTGCCTGAAGACAGCAATTCCCCATCACTGAAGGTATTTAGGATGACCATCTGTCAGAGATGATGGAGATTTTTTTATTGGAAAGAAAAATCCCTTACAACCTGGTATTCTGTGGTTTTCTTTCCATGTCTCTGTTTCTAGCTCTTTCTACCTACCTTTACGATACTGATTTTCCACTGATAATTTCATATGTAAGTCATAGCTAAGATATTCATCGCTAAGTATCTTTTTTTAGATACTAGTGAAGTGTTGTCTGCTGCCCACAGCTACCAGAATTACCTGGGTTGCCTTCTAAAAGAAGAGAATTCTCAGGACCCACTTCAGACTGGCTCAATCACTTTTGGTGATTTTAACAGACTTCCACCTCCTTGATTTTATGTACACTGGAGGTTAGAACCGTTGCTTTAGAACGTGGTCAGCGGGTGTGAAGTGGAGTTATTTTAGAAGGAAGAATCTCTAATTTCAGTGAGATGTGTTAGGTTATTACATGGCTCTTACATTTATTTCTTTGAAGTGTAGACAGCAATGACAAGGACATG